TTCTCATCTCAACAAAGTTCCTGTTCTGTGTAACACACTCTGCTTCTCATTCAACGGGGCCCCTGTCTCTGTGTGTAATACAGGGTTTCTCATCTGAAGGCCCCCTGTCTCTGTGTAATACAGGGTTTCTCATTCAGCGTGGCCCCTATCTGTCTGTAATACTGGGTTTCTCATTCAGCGGGGCCCCTGTCTCTGTGTAATACAGGGTTTCTCATTCAGCGGGGCCCCTGTCTCTGTGTAATACAGGGTTTCTCATTCAGCGTGGCCCCTATCTGTCTGTAATACTGAGTTTCTCATTCAGCGGGGCCCCTGTCTCTGTGTAATACAGGGTTTCTCATTCAGCGGGGCCCCTGTCTCTGTGTAATGAATACAGGGTTTCTCATTCAGCGGGCCCCCCAGTCTCTGTGTGTATTGTGTCATCTAGTGTGGTTCCCTCTGGCCCCTACCTGTACACAAGTTTCTTGGCCCCAGCAGGGGGGCCTCCACCCTGTGTAATACAGGGTTTCTCATTCAGCGGGGCCCCTGTCTCTGTGTAATACAGGGTTTCTCATTCAGCGTGGCCCCTATCTGACTGTAATACTGAGTTTCTCATTCAGCGGGGCCCCTGTCTCTGTGTAATACAGGGTTTCTCATTCAGCGGGGCCCCTGTCTCTGTGTAATACAGGGTTTCTCATTCAGCGTGGCCCCTATCTGACTGTAATACTGAGTTTCTCATTCAGCGGGGCCCCTGTCTCTGTGTAATACAGGGTTTCTCATTCAGCGGGGCCCCTGTCTCTGTGTAATACAGGGTTTCTCATTCAGCGTGGCCCCTATCTGACTGTAATACTGAGTTTCTCATTCAGCGGGGCCCCTGTCTCTGTGTAATACAGGGTTTCTCATTCAGCGTGGCCCCTATCTCACTATAATACAGGGTTTCTCCATTACTCACCAGAGGGGTTGTCCTGGGGGCAGCTCCACAGAAGGGGCACGTGTAGGAGGATCAAGATGATATGCATGATTCTGTAACAGAGAACATTAACAATCTGACCGATTCCCTTCCTCTATGTATGTCTTGTTATTAAATGATAGTTTTTATAGAATAAATAAGACAGGGATACATGGGTAATCCAAAGGTCTACTCCCTAATGCCAGGCTTTGTCTGGTCTCTGGGGCGTGCGAAGATACAAAGACCATGGAAGCCGAGAGAATGCCCCTTTCTATAAATGTGTTGGTACGAAAAACAAGTTTAGTTTCATTTCAAATCGGTTATTTCTGAATTTTGGTTCACCCATAGTTACATAGCTGAAAAGAGACTTGCGTCCATCAAGTTCAGCCTTCCTCACATTTGTTTTTTGCTGTTGATCCAAAAGAAGGCAAAAAACCCAGTCTGAAGCGCTTCCAATTTTGCAACAAACTGGAAAGCAATCCAGAAATTCATCAATTCAGAATGAAACTAAATTTGTTGTTAAATTTGTTCATTGACAAATTTTGAAGTACAATTATAATAGTAAAATATAATAGTATAACTTATATTAGATAGTGAATATTTTTTAATAAATTATTAAAAATGTTTTAATATTTGCAAATTGCAGTATATTTACAAAATATAATCATGTTGTGCAATTTTAAATATTGAAACAGATTTAATAAATTGGTTATTAATTTATATTGGTTAGTGTGACGGACCGCCGTCACTGAGTGCCATGTTCCCACTGTCTATTAGTGTGTTTCCCCTTGTTTTCCATTGTTCGTCTCCCAAACGGGGACCCCCTGGCTCCCCTGGGTGGTCACCATTTCGTATAGACGAACGTCAACCGGGGGGGGGGCATTCGTATCCCGAAAGGAGATGCTTCCCTTGCGGGGTCTTCACACCATAACTCCACAAACGGGTTCCTGAGGTTGGTGGGGACACTTTTTGGGGTACTGGTTGTTCGGGCTGGGGATTGCCCTCCCTACCCGTAAAGGAGCATAAATCACTATTACGGCTGGTGGCTGCCCAAAGAGCGCTCTCTCTACGGTACTACTTGCATGCAGGAGAGAGAGAGAGAGCGCCAGCAGAGAATCCCTGGAACGGTGAGTCGGCCTCACAGCCGCAGATTCCTGCTGGCTGCCTGGAAGTCCGTGCCGGCCAATAGGAGAAGGGCTACCATTCAAATTGGTTCACGCCCTTTCTCCCGATTGGCCAGCAAAACACCTCCCCTACCTGAGCACAGATTGGTGCAATTTGGTTTGCGCCCTTCCTCCGGATTGGCTGTTGCTTGGTTTAGGCGTGAAGTTTGAGTTCGCGGGACTAAACCAACCAACTCTGTGGAACTAATTGCGGGGATGTACAGAGCCTCGAGACCCGACTTTCTCGGGCTCTGTATATCCGATAGCTCCGCTATTTGCATAGATCCTGGTTGGGTACCATTTATATGTGTACCCCTTTTCCTTTCCAGGACGCCAAGCCCCCTAAGTTTCCCCCATGTATGTAATGTATCCTATTGTCTGTAAATGTTGTGCTATTGGGATCTCACAGAGCGGGAGATGGTCATCTGTAAACCATCCCCCTCCAGCCTGGGACGTAGGAATTTGTACTGAATAGTATGGAGACCCTCTATGGGGGTCTGTGTATAAATTAAGCCTGTACCAATAAAGCACTCCCAGAGCTGTGTCTCGTCCAGTTACTGGGGGGAAATGGGTCTCTTAATGTTCTAAGGGGTTCTTAACCGGTCAGGTTACCTGGGGTCTGCTACAGTTACTTTACCTATTTATCTACCCGATTCCCTCTCACGGTTCCAGCCAGCCGTATCACAAAGAATGGATCCAAGACAAACAGAATAGACTTGTGATTGTTCATGGTGAATTCAGTTTCATTTCTCGGATCTGGATCATATAATGTCAATTCCAGCTGCTGAAACCTGAACTGAACTCGATCCACTCTCCAAAACCCAAGACTGGTCCCAGCAGCAGAAATGAGAAAATCTGCCGACTAAAACAAAGTTCCAACTTCCCCAGAGCGAGAGAATTCACCGACTAAGAAACAGGTGTTTGGTATTTGATTTTTTTATTTTATTCTTTGGCCTAAAATTTGTAATTTTCCAGTGAATCCCTGGCTTAGTGAATAACTATATTATGACAGACAGAAAGATGCAATGAAAGGCAATGGGAAGATAGAGCGACCAGCAACGTCATGTTATACAGGATTAGATCAAATTATTACCTGGGACAAACAGGAATTACTGAGGGAAAACAAAGTCTTTGTTACATTTATTTCTTTAAACTAATTGGGATATCAGTGGATGGCACAATACAATAGACGGTGTGATGAGTTGTGGTCCTGATAACGTGCGGTCATTACATTAGATATAAACCCAGCGCTGTCTGAGCCTGTCCTGATAACGTGCGGTCATTACATTAGATATAAACCCAGCACTGTCTGAGCCTGTCCTGATAACGTGCAGTCATTACATTAGATATAAACCCAGCACTGTCTGAGCCTGTCCTGATAGCGTGCTGTCATTACATTAGATATAAGCCCAGCACTGTCTGAGCCTGTCCTGATAGCGTGCTGTCATTACATTAGATATAAACCCAGCGCTGTCTGAGCCTGTCCTGATAACGTGCTGTCATTACATTAGATATAAACCCAGCGCTGTCTGAGCCTGTCCTGATAACGTGCAGTCATTACATTATATATAAACCCAGCACTGTCTGAGCCTGTCCTGATAACGTGCTGTCATTACATTAGATATAAACCCAGCACTGTCTGAGCCTGTCCTGATAGCGTGCTGTCATTACATTAGATATAAGCCCAGCGCTGTCTGAGCCTGTCCTGATAGCGTGCTGTCATTACATTAGATATAAACCCAGCGCTGTCTGAGCCTGCCCTGATAACGTGCGGTCATTACATTAGATATAAACCCAGCGCTGTCTGAGCCTGTCCTGATAACGTGCTGTCATTACATTAGATATAAACCCAGCACTGTCTGAGCCTGTCCTGATAACGTGCGGTCATTACATTAGATACAAACCCAGCGCTGTCTGAGCCTGTCCTGATAACGTGCAGACATTACATTAGATATAAACCCAGTACTGTCTGAGCCTGTCCTGATAACACGCAGTCAGATCCCCTACATTAGATATAAACCCAGCGCTGTCTGAGCCTGTCCTGATAACGTGCAGTCATTACATTAGATATAAACCCAGCGCCGTCTGAGCCTGTCCTGATAACGTACTGTCATTACATTAGATATAAACCCAGCGCTGTCTGAGCCTGTCCTGATAACGTGCGGTCAGATCTCCTACATTAGATATAAACCCAGCGCTGTCTGAGCCTGTCCTGATAACGTGCTGTCATTACATTAGATATAAACCCAGCGCTGTCTGAGCCTGTCCTGATAACGTGCAGTCATTACATTAGATATAAACCCAGCGCTGTCTGAGCCTGCCCTGATAACGTGCTGTCATTACATTAGATATAAACCCAGCGCTGTCTGAGCCTGTCCTGATAACGTGCAGTCATTACATTAGATATAAACCCAGCGCTGTCTGAGCCTGTCCTGATAACGTGCGGTCATTACATTAGATATAAACCCAGCGCTGTCTGAGCCTGTCCTGATAACGTGCTGTCATTACATTAGATACAAACCCAGCGCTGTCTGAGCCTGTCCTGATAACGTGCAGACATTACATTAGATATAAACTCAGCGCTGTCTGAGCCTGTCCTGATAACGTGCGGTCATTACATTAGATATAAACCCAGCGCTCTCTGAGCCTGTCCTGATAACGTGCAGTCATTACATTAGATATAAACCCAGCGCTGTCTGAGCCTGTCCTGATAACGTGCAGTCATTACATTACATATAAACCCAGCGCTGTCTGAGCCTGTCCTGATAACGCGGCTGTCATTATATATATTAGATCTAAACCCAGCGCCAAGGTTCGAGCCTGTCCTGATAACGTATTACATTAGATCTAAAACTCCAGCGCTTGTTCGAGCCTGTCCTGATAACGCGGTAGTCATTACATTAGATATAAAACCCAGCGCCGTCTGAGCCTGTCCTGATAACGTGCAGTCATTACATTAGATATAAACCCAGCGCCGTCTGAGCCTGTCCTGATAACGTGCTGTCATTATATTAGATATAAACCCAGCGCTGTCTGAGCCTGTCCTGATAACGTGCAGTCATTACATTAGATATAAACCCAGCGCTGTCTGAGCCTGTCCTGATAACGTGCTGTCATTACATTAGATATAAACCCAGCACTGTCTGAGCCTGTCCTGATAACGTGCGGTCAGATCCCCTACATTAGATATAAACCCAGCGCTGTCTGAGCCTGTCCTGATAGCGTGCGGTCAGATCCCCTACATTAGATATAAACCCAGCGCTGTCTGAGCCTGTCCTGATAACGTGCTGTCATTACATTAGATATAAACCCAGCGCTGTCTGAGCCTGTCCTGATAACGTGATGTCATTACATTAGATATAAACCCAGCGCTGTCTGAGCCTGTCCTGATAACGTGCAGTCATTACATTAGATATAAACCCAGCGCTGTCTGAGCCTGTCCTGATAACGTGCAGTCATTACATTAGATATAAACCCAGCACTGTCTGAGCCTGTCCTGATAACGTGCAGTCATTACATTAGATATAAACCCAGCGCTGTCTGAGCCTGTCCTGATAACGTGCTGTCATTACATTAGATATAAACCCAGCGCTGTCTGAGCCTGTCCTGATAACGTGCTGTCATTACATTAGATATAAACCCAGCACTGTCTGAGTCTGTCCTGATAACGTGCTGTCATTACATTAGATATAAACCCAGCGCTGACTGAGCCTGTCCTGATAACGTGCTGTCATTATATTAGATATAAACCCAGCGCTGTCTGAGCCTGTCCTGATAATGTGAGGTCATTACATTAGATATAAACCCAGCGCTGTCTGAGCCTGTCCTGATAACTTGCTGGCATTACATTAGATATAAACCCAGCGCTGTCTGAGCCTGTCCTGATAACGTGCAGTCATTACATAAGATATAAACCCAGCGCTGTCTGAGCCTGTCCTGAGAATGTGCAATAATTACATTAGATATAAACACTGCCATGTCATTAAATATTATGTTCCTGGTAGAGAGTATACATAGATACTTACCATCTGTTTGTCTCTCCTGTGTGAAGGTGAAGTGACTGTGTCTTTAGTGAGAGGTTGATATAAAATAAGTGAGTGCCTATGACTCCACCCCACCTCACACACCTGCTCTCTGTCTGGATGTTGGACACAGTCCGCAGACACTGAATTAGGTCAGATTTAACCCTTACCTGTCCGAGCTTGGTATTACCTACTCTGTGACACTGCATTGGGAGAGAGCCATGCCTTCCCCCAGCTAGGAATTATTCTCAAGGTTTCACTAAACACAGGATTTGTTGTGTGGATGGTAAAAATTTGGTGAAAATGAACTGGTCTGCAATGGTAACTCTCATATTCAGTGCATTGTGTCAGTGCGTGTGAATGGAGAGTGTGTATGAACAGTGTGAGTGTGTGTGAATGGAGAGTGTGTATGTGCAGTGTGAGTGTGTGTGAATGGAGAGTGTGTATGTGCATTGTGTCAGTGTGCGTGAATGGAGAGTGTGTATGTGCATTGTGTCAGTGTGCGTGAATGGAGAGTGTGTATGTACAGTGTGAGTGTGTGTGAATGGAGAGTGTGTATGTACAGTGTGAGTGTGTGTGACTGGAGAGTGTGTATGTACAGTGTGAGTGTGAATTGAGAGTGTGTATATGCAGTGTGAGTGTGTTTGAATGGAGAGTATGTATGGACAGTGTGGGTGTGTGTGAATGGAGAGTGTGTATGTACAGTGTGAGTGTGTGTGAATTGAGAGTGTGTATGTGCAGTGTGAGTGTGTGTGAATGGAGAGTGTGTATGTACAGTGTGAGTGTGTGTGAATGGAGAGTGTGTATGTACAGTGTGAGTGTGAATGGAGAGTGTGTATGTACAGTGTGGGTGTGTGTGAATGGAGAGTGTGTATGTACAGTGTGGGTGTGTGTGAATGGAGAGTGTGTATGTGCAGTGTGAGTGTGAATGGAGAGTGTGTATGTACAGTGTGAGTGTGTGTGAATTGAGAGTGTGTGGCATGCAGTGAAAGTGTAAAAGTGTGTGGAAATGGAGAGTGTGTGGCTGCACAGTGAGGGGTGAAATGGAGCAGGTGTATGTACAGTGGAGTGTGGAATGGAGAGTGTGGCAGCGCACAGTGTGGGTGGCAGTGAAACTCGAGAGTACAGCTGTACAGTGGAGTGTGTGGAATGGAGAGGTGTATGTACAGTGTGTGTGGGAGTGTGTGTGAATGGAGAGTGTGTGGCTGTACAGGTGAGTGTGGAATGGAGAGTGTGTATGTACAGGGGTGTGTGTGGAATGAGAGTGTGGCATGTACAGTGTGGGTGTGTGTGTGAATGGAGAGTGTGTATGTGCAGTGTGAGTGTGAATGGAGAGTGTGTATGTACAGTGTGAGTGAGTGTGAATGGAGAGTGTGTATATGTAGTGTGAGTGTGTGTGAATGGAGAGTGTGTATGTACAGTGTGAGTGTGAATGGAGAGTGTGTATGTACAGTGTGAGTGTGTGTGAATGGAGAGTGTGTATGTACAGTGTGAGTGTGTGTGAATGGAGAGTATTAGCTATTGTTTGCAAATAAGCAGAGGCCTACCCAGGTGTTAAACATTCCTAGTGGGCGGTGATTTTAGGAGTTATATAAGGCTTGGTGTCATTAGCTTGGCTAATATAGCTTGGTGCTACTTCTAAGTGCTGTTTCTAAGTGTGTAGTTGGAGATATTCTGGAGAGTGCTGTTTCTAAGTGTGTAGTTGGAGATATTCTGGAGAGTGCTGTTTCTAAGTGTGTAGTTGGAGATATTCTGGAGAGTGCTGTTTCTAAGTGTGTAGTTGGAGATATTCTGGAGAGTGCTGTTTCTAAGTGTGTAGTTGGAGATATTCTGGAGATAAACTGGAGGTAATCTGAGGTATTCAGGAGGATAAATACAAAGTTAAGATTTGTTAGATTTAAATTATTCTCCTAATTGGAATGGCAGACTTAGTTCAGTGTAACAATTGCTATGCATTTGTTTCACGTTCCACTTTTTGGAGGTTTGGTTGTTGTCTAATCTGTAGACAGTTCTCTATCTTGCGGCAGGAGATTGTATTTTTGAAGTCTGAGATTTGTAAATTATCTGGTGAACAAACTCAGACTGGAACTGCTGCAAAGCCACTGCCGCAGAGACATACTAGGAATGGTGGATGGATTACTGTAGGATCTGGTAGACTTGGAGTTGTGGATAAAAGGCATTTTGCACAGTCTGTTGCTCTTCATAATTCATTTTCTGCACTTTCAGAGTGTAATGGTGTTGTGGAGAGAGGCACTGAGGCTAGTGGTGTTGTGGGGAGAGGCACTGAGGCTAGTGGTGTTGTGGAGAGAGGCACTGAGACTAGTGGTGTTGTGGAGACCGGCTTGGAGACTATGGTAAGGCCTAATAGAAAGCAGTTGTTGTTGGGGGATTCCATTATAAGAGGTGTGGAGATGGACAATGGTGGTCTTGTGAGGTGTCTTCCCGGACTACTGCTCAGAGAGACAGGAGACGTATCTGTAATATTGTTAAGCAAGCAAAGCAGGAAGGGGAATTGGATATACTTGTCCATCTAGGGACAAATGACTTGGCTTGCAATGAGGTTTCAGAGGTTAAGGAAGTTTTTAGTGTTTTTGCCAATGATATACGGCAGGTTGCTTCCACACTGTCATTCTCTGAAGTTCTGCCTGTGCATAACACCAGTTTCATTAGGGACTTTAATTTGTGGCTTGGTGAATGGTGTTGGGAGCAAGGATTTGGCTTTATTTCTCATGGTAGCTCTGTTTGGAATGGAGATAAGCTGTACAAAAAAGATGGTTTGCATCTTTCTCAAAAGGGAACAAATGTTCTCAGTGAGCAGTTCAGAGGTTTTGCTAGGATGTATTTAAACTAGGAGGGGGGGCAAGAGGGTGATAAAACATCAATCCAATTGTCCCCCAAAACAAGGACAGAAGGTGCCTGTAGCAAGTGTGTTAAAAATGATAAGCTTAGAGTCATGTCTACAAATGCTCACAGTTTAGGGAATAAGATCCATGAACTTGTGGCAATAATGGCAACTGATAGTGTAGATTTAGTCGCTGTTACTGAGACATGGTACAATGAGAAAAATGACTGGGAAATAGCAATACCAGGGTACTCTTTATATAGAAAAGATAGGGAAGGCAAGAAAGGGGGAGGAGTGGCCTTGTATGTGAAGGATAGCATAAAATCTAGCCTAATAAAAGTTAGTGAGGCAAACAGACTCCGTTTGGGCTACGTTAGAATTTGGTAATCACACAGTAACTCGTGTAGGTGTGATTTATAGGCCCACAGGACAAATTGAAGAATTAGATAATCTACTAGTTGAGGAAATAGCTAAAATGACAATGAAGGGGGAAGTTATCATCATGGGTGACTTTAATCTTCCTGATGTAAATTGGAAAACAAAATTAGCTACTTGTGCCAAGAGCACACATATTCTAAACTCCCTACTGGGATTGTCTCTAAAACAAGTTGTTGAGGAGCCAACTCGTAAAGAGGCCATACTAGATTTAGTGTTAACAAATGGAGATTTGGTATCAGATATTACTGTAGGTGAAAGTTTAGGATCCAGTGATCATCAGTCAGTGTGGTTTAATATAAGAACAGTGACTGAGTCAAACCACACAAAAACAAAAGTTTTAGACTTTAGAAAAGCAGACTTTTCTAAAATTAGAATATGGGTAGAGGAGTCATTATCAGACTGCAGCAATTTAAATGGAGTCCAAGAGAAATGGGATTATTTAAAAGTTGCACTATTGAAGGCAACAGAAAATTGCATTAGGCTTGTCAGTAAAAGCAAAAAATTCAAGAAACCACTGTGGTACTCCGCAGATGTGGCCAAAATAGTTAAAAACAAAAAGTTAGCATTTAGGAATTATAAAAAAAAACAGAGTGAGGAAGACAAAATGATCTATAAGATTAAGCAGAAAGAGGCTAAGCAAGTTATAAGAGCTTCCAAATCACACACAGAAGAGAAATTAGCACAGTCAGTAAAACAGGGGGATAAAACAGTTTTTAGATACATAAAAGAGAAAAGAAAAGTAAAACAAGGATTAGTTAAATTAAAAACAAAAGAAGGAAGGTATGTAGAAGAGGATAAAGGTCTAGCTGACTGCCTCAATGAATATTTTTGTTCTGTATTTACAGATGAAAATTAAGGAAAGGGACCTCAGCTGAGAAAAAGGATAAATGAGTCATTTATTACACGTGAGTTTACAGAGGAAGAGGTTCTATTTCAACTATCAAAAGTAAAGACAAATAAGTCAATGGGACCTGATGGAATACACCCAAAGCTATTAAACGAGCTTAGTGGTGTACTAGCAAAACCATTAATAGATTTATTTAACCAATCATTGTTAACAGGAGTAGTCCCAGAAGATTGGAAGTTAGCGAATGTTGTGCCCATTTACAAGAAAGGTAATAGGGAAGAGTCGGGCAACTATAGGCCAGTAAGCCTTACTTCAGTAGTGGGGAAAGTGATGGAAACTATGTTAAAGGATAGGATTGATGAACATTTAAAAACACATGGATTTCGAAATCAGAGACAACATGGGTTTACTTCAGGGAGATCATGCCAAACTAATCTTATTGATTTTTTTTGACTAAAATTATAGATCAGGGTGGTGCAGTAGACATTGCTTACCTAGATTTCAGTAAGGCTTTTGACACTGTTGCACATAGAAGGCTTATCAATAAACTGCAATCTTTAAGTTTGGATTCCAATATTGTTGAATGGGTAAGGCAGTGGCTGAGTGACAGGCAACAGAGGGTTGTAGTCAATGGAGTATATTAATATTTTAATTAGTGATATTGCAGAAGGTCTTGATGATAAGGTATGTCTTTTTGCTGATGATGCTAAGATATGTAACAAGGTTGATGTTCCAGAAGGGATAAGCCAAATGGCAAATGATTTAGGTAAACTAGAAACAGCCTCTAGTGGCTGTCTCACTGACAGCCGCTAGAGGCGCTTCCGCGCTTCTCACTGTAATTTTCACTGTGAGAAGACGCCAGCGTCCATAGGAAAGCATCAAAAATGCTTTCCTATGGACTGACTGAATGCACACGCGGCTCTTGCTGTGCATGCGCATTCAGCTGATGACGTCCAAAGGAGGAGGAGAGTCCCCAGTGCCGAGGGAGCCCGCCGCCGGAGAAAGGTAAGTGTTTAACCCCTTCCTCCAACTTCAGCCCGGCGGGAGGGGGGCCATGAGGGTGGGAGCACCATCAGGGCACTATAGTACCAGGAAAACGAGTTTGTTTTCCTGGCACTATAGTGGTCCTTTAACATGTATAGCTTGGAGGAAAGACGAGACAGGGGGGATATGATAGAAATATTTAAATACATAAAGGGAATCAACACAGTAAAGGAGGAGACTATATTTAAAGGAAGAAAAACTACCACAACAAGAGGACATAGTCTTTCTTGGAGCGCCTGATGTGCCATCACTGCTGCTTGCACCCGTTCCACGATGTCCGCTATAGGGTTGGGGCCAAAGTGTGCCAGCATTATCTGGAATGCCTGGTTGAATCGGATTTCCTCGGGTGTCAGGTCCAAGATGCTGGGCACATTAGCTCTCTCCGTTCCTTGCGCTGCATCCATTTCAAGTAGCTGGGCAATAATCTCCCGTTTTTTAAAATTGCTTGCTGACCGTCCTCAGCGTTCTGGTATGTCTTTAAGGGTAGTACGCCTTAGTTCCTCATACTGCATTTCCACCAACCTGGATTGTGTAGCTGTCCTGGGCGGCGGGAATCATCCCGTCGCTTGCCACCAATTGTTAAGACACTCCCAGCTGAAAGGAGTGAAACCGCCGTTTAGGTGATCTCCCCCCTTTGAGACACAAGCTCTGCTGCTGTGGACCGCCAAACTCCCGAATGGAGTATAAGGGAATACTTCAAAATCCCGAACAAAGAATCAGCTGAACTCCTTCTCTCCTAGAATAGGCGAAATAACACTTCCAAGTAGCAATCCCCGCAAACACGAGACCAAGCTCCGTCTTGAGGGTAAAACAGGAATCTGCTTTAATGAGGGCTACTGTTAAGACACCCCGGAGACCTAGGAGTGAAACCGCCGTTTAGTTGAGCTTTCCCCTACACAATCTCGCCATCTCCGTTCATATATAATTCAGCATACGAACCACAACCAGGGGAAAGCGGTAATCTCCCGAACGGGATCCGTAAGAGTGCTCCAAACTCCTGAACAATAATCCATGAATCATCGCTAACCGCCGAACAAGTATATCCTCCAAGCGGCTTTCGGCTACAGCAATCAGTCTCTATCCGTCGCTAGTAAATCCCCCCCAATAACGAGACCAAGCTCCGCACTGAGGGTAAAACAAGAACTGGGTTTACTGTGGGCTACCCACCTGTATTTATGCAGGTCTCCCACTTGGTGGACACTCCCTTAGGGGACCAAATGGGAGACTGTAATGAGAGACAGACATATGGCTATTTCAGACACACAGGCACAAAAGATTCCCACCATGCATCATGGTTTCCTCCCATCTGCCCTGGAGATAATTGAGAAGCAATTCAATTATCTCCAGGACAAAGACAAATTGCCATTTTAAGTAAAACACCAGAAAACACTTGAAAATAAATAATTGCACAACTACCGAACATATTACATTTGTGTAACGTATCCCCAGATAGCCTGGATCTGAGGGCATATTATTAGCGAATAGTGCTCAGATCCCATACGCATAGTTCAATCGCCATGGAGTCAAAGTCTTTACAGTCATTCGGTATGCGATTGACTCCATGGGAAGGCTATCTGGGTTAAGTCTTTTCGTGTAATCCAAAACTCCCGAACGGCCGGTGTCCGCATGCTTTTGTCGACTGAGAAGGGTGGTCTGTAGTTTCAGCGCTGGTCTTTTGCGTGGTTTAAAATGGCCGCCGCCTCGTGGTCAACATACGAACGACGACCACCCTGTATTCGGTTATAAGTACAACGTTCTAATTGGGATCAAGAGGTTAACCAGCAGCACACTTCTCTTCTGGGTGGCCGTCCGTTCGGTAGATTTATTCGGCAAAAAGTCCATCATACGCATGAGGTTATAGGAACAGGCAGTTTCCACGAAAGGAAGGCAAACTAGACAAACCGACAAATAATAGTCATACAGATGGGTCTGTCACAGCTACCTGCCCGGTATTTATGCAGGTCTCCCACCTGGTGGACACTCCCCGAGGGGACCAGATGGGAGACTGGGACACATATTGTACAGTAGCCAATCACAGCGGCTCAGCTATAAACACTCCCCTTTGTACAAGTAATTCCCCCCTCTCTATCCTGGAGATAATTGGGAAGAAATCCAATTATCTCCAGGGATAGAGGCAAATCGCCATTTTACATAGTATAATAAAAACACATAAAAATCAATAACTATAAAACTACTAAATGCTTTTAGTTCGAGTAATGTATCCCCAGATAGCCTGTGTCTGAGCGCACATAACTACCGAATAGACCCAATGCACACAGTTCAATCGCCATGGAGTCTTTCACATTGTTCTTTCGATATATGATTGACTCCATGGGATGACTATCTGGGTTAAGTCCATTCATGTAATAAAAGTCCCGAACGGACCGGCGTTCGCATGCCTGCGGATAAGAAGGGCGGTCGTCAGTTTCAACGGTGTTCGGTAGATAAAGTGTCCGTTTTTAGTTCCATAGTTTGAGTGCCGAACACCGCTGTGCATTCGCGTGTTTAAAATGGCTACCGCCTTGTGGTCGACATGCGAACGACGACCACCCTGCATACGGTTCTAATCAAGAGGTGTCTGCGGTTAACCACAACGTTCTAATTGAGGCCAATAGGTTAACCAGCAGCACACTTCTCCTCTGGGTGGCCGTCCGTTCGGTAGTTTTATTCGGTACAATCTGAAACAGATGAACAGGGGCGTATGGGCAGGTAATTCCACGAAAGTATAGCAATTAGGCGAACCAGCAGAAAGAACTTTTGGGATATTGTAAAATGTATGTTTTCTGTGCCTGGAGATAATTGAGTTCCTGACTCAATTATCTCTCAGGCACAGGGGAGGGATTATTCTGTTTTATGTGGGAGTGTCCTGGACCCGAGAGCCAGGGCCGGACTGGGAAAAAAATTAGGCCCGGGCATTTTTCAATTAGAGCGGCCCCCCCAAGAAGGTGTGAACAAGCACGCCCCCTCTCAAAGTGAGCATGTTGGTTCAATGCGCAGGGCCCCGCTGAAGAGCTCTGGCATTAGAAAAAGGCCCTGAATTTGTTCTGCGCAGCGCAAGCAAATTTAATAACATGCTTGCGCTGTGTTTGCTTTTAAATTGTCTCTGGTGTCTCCACAAGTGGGATACCAGAGGACAAAAGGGCCAGGAAAGTGTATGGTGCATGTGTTTGGCGCCAGCTTGTGGGATTGCCTGTGTGTAGAGTGTGGT